CTTCGTCGACAATCAGCATGTCGACTTTCGGAGGATCTTTGTCGAACATCGAGATCAGTTCGAGCTTCACATCGAAGCCGCGAGCCAGGTTTTCGGCTTGAGCCTGGCTGAGCAGATTGCGACGCATCGAAACCCAGCCGATGGAAAGACCGAAATGTTTTTGCATCCACTGGGCGATTGCCAGGCCCATGACCGTTTTCCCGCTGCCCGTGGGACTTTCGACCAGGACCGAGGCACTCGACCCAGCGAACTCGTCGAACGGATCGGCGTGTGCGTTTAAGAGAGCCTTGATCGCCTTGGTGACGATTCGTTTTTGATAAGGACGCGGCTGAGCATCGACACCCTCGAACGGATCTTCCAGCAGGGCCAACTCCGCAAAAGCGGACTTCGTTTCGGTCGATTCTTCGATCCAATCACCCAATTCCAGGCCAATTCCCAAAGCCATGACAGACCTCTCCATATCTCGGCAAAGTGATGTGTTTATGTCGTGTGCAGCCCGGCGGAAAACCTTTCCCATCCGCGACACAGGTACTATCGATTAGCCGGATGACACGTTGGGTCACTTCCGATTTGGCGTAGAAAAATAATTAGGAAAAACAATCGGCACGCGTTGTAAGTGCCTGTGCTGTAGGAGATTAAGAAAGAATGGTGTCGATCAGGAAAACATCTGGAACTGCCCTGTCGGTTCGAAGGCGTTCTCGAAATGCCGGACTTCAGGCGTACGTTGGTGTGCCGGCCAGACGATGGCGATGACATCGAATCGGGCCGGGCAGTTTCCCAGTAGGTCGTGTCGCCGCATATACGCCAGCGCGGCACGCGTGAGTCGCTGCTGCTTGTCGCGATTCACCGCTTCGTCCGGCGAGCCCTTTTCTTCCGCGGCGCGGGTTTTCACTTCGACGAAAACGATCGTGCGATCTTGCACCGCGATGATGTCGATCTCGCCGAGCCGCGAACGATCTTGGGTCGCGACAATCGTGTAGCCGCGGCGGCGAAGATACTTGCAGGCGAACTGCTCGCCACGTTGACCTAGCGACTTGGGCTGCCACCACGATTTAAGCCAGGTTAACATGCATCTGCTCCCTACGACTTCGCGAGCGGAGGAAGCTCGCTGATATCGGGGAAGTCAGGCCGCGTACGGTAGTGCGACTCGAGGGCTTCCATGACGGCGAGGACTTGATCTTCCCGCCAAAACCGACCGGCGACTTGCACGCCGACAGGAAGCCCCGTGCTGCCCAGTTCGACCGACTTCGCCAGGCGGTAGCTGGCGTCCGACTTGGTCTCGCGGTCGGTTTCTTCCTCAGGCTGTACCCGTGTCGCGGGAACGTTACCGCACGGCACGCCTAGCAGGTTCATCACTACGCTGTAGCTTGCCGCAGGCATCATGTCGACGGCGTAGTTCCGCTTCAGCGCGGGGGTGGCATGAGTGGGGCACAGCACGACATCGACGTTTGCCGCGTCCCATGTCTGGAAGATCTCGCCGACTTGCTGGGCAGCTTCGTACGTAATTTGCCATAGCGAATTTGCCGAGCGTGGCCCCGACGCTTGAAAGAGGGAAGCCATTTTACGTTTCCGAAATGGCTTCAGCGCGAGCATCGCCACCAGCGGCCGTAGCCATCGGGGCATCGCGGCCAGGCGTACGAGCCGGGCCACTTCTGGATCGAGCTTGCTACCTTTCAGCATCCGACGAAAGTCTTTTCCACCGTCGGCGCTGGCAATTGCAAAGTACGACTTCAGCACCTCCAGCGTGCGGGGAGGTGGAAGCGGAACGATCGTCGCCCCTTGAGCTTTCAGGCCTGTGGCGCCCTCGGCAATCGCTCTTCGCACGGCGGGGCAGGGGGGGAAGAACTCGTCGTCGTCATAAACGCCGATGCGCAGCTGAGCGATATCGATCGGACCATGGTCAGAAAATCCCAGCGGAGGATCTTCCGCCTCGTCCCATTTGGTTTGGGGGTCTCGACGCGACAAAACCTGCATCGCCAGGCGAAGATCGGCCACGTGCCGTGCCATGGGGCCTGGCTGGAATTCGAGCCACGACATACCACGTAAGTTTTCGACCGCTCCGCTGCGGACCAGTCGCCGTGATGTCGGCTTCAAACCGGCGATTCCACAGAAGTGACTCGGCAGGCGAATGCTTCCTCCTAAGTCGCTGCCCAGTCCGAGGGCCGTTCCGCCGGCCGCTAAAATGGCTGCTTCGCCGCCGCTGCTTCCGCCGACACTGCGATCGACGTTCCAAGGATTGTGCGTTGTGCCGAAGACCGGATTGCATGTCTCGTGAATGATCATTAATTGCGGCACATTCGTGAGCCCCAAGACCACACCACCAGCTTGCCGAAGCCGCGCGACCAATGGCCCGTCACTGGGATGTTCGACCGCGGGAGTCGTCATCCCCAGCGTCGACTTTCCCCCCGCTACGTGGAAGCATTCTTTAATCGAAAGAGGAACACCGCGCAGCAAGCCTCCTTCGCAAAAGTGAGGATCGTTGTCGAGCCGTTTGGCCGTTTCGGTGGCCTGATCAAAGAATGTTTCGACCACCGCATTCAACGAAGCATTGACCGCTTCGATCCGC